AGCCGCCGGGGGCGGGGTGGGGGCACTGCCGCGGGACCGGGACGGTGCCGGTGCCGGGTGAGGTCCGGGTGCGAGGGGAGGCGGCTGCGTGTCTGATGGTCGTTACCGGGTGCAAAGTCTCATCTCGAAGGAGTGCTTGCAGAAGGTGAACATGATGACAAATTAAAATAAGCGCTGGTGCAGAAACAGAAATAGTTCCCGTAGAGCTCCCGGGGAGGTCTGATCTCACCCGCAGGCGCGTGTTCCCCCTCCAGCCCTCGAGCAGCGCCCGGCTGGTGTTTCTGGAGATGCTCTCCATGCCTGACCCTGTCTCCCCCACTGGCAGTGGTACCTGCCGTCCCTCTTCCCCTGGGTGCTGGGGGGAATCCTTCTTCTGCGGATCCAGGCAGAGCTGGATGTGGAGGGGAAAGAGGCTTGTCTCTGTGTCACAAAACCTCCAGGAGGTCCCCATGGGTGGCAGCAGAAGTGACCCCAGCTGGACGTGGCTGGCTGCGGAAGCTGGGGGGTTTAGTGCCGGGAAGGTCGGTGTCCCGCATCGCGGGGTGTTGCAGAGGAAGGCGAGAGCCGCAGTACCCAGCGCGGCCGGCGGCACCTTTGGAGATGTGCATGATGTCATCTCCCCAGCGCTGGAAAGCATCGCCGCGCCTCACACCGCGAGCTTACGGCTTGTTTCTGGATTTTCTGAGCTCCTCAGCACCAGGCAGTGCTGGTGGCTGGTGACTGAATGAGGGGAGCTGCAGCCCTATCTTGCTCCATGAGCTTTGCTTCCAGCAGGGAATAATCACCAGAGCGGCTTTGCTCAATCCCACGGAGCCCAGAGAGGCTGGAAACAGGAGCGGGTGCAGCGGAAGGCGGCAGGGACGAGCGGAGCTCTCGCACGGAGCCTGTGAGCATCCCACCTCTGCCGCAACCCTGCGCATCCCTGCCCTGGGCACGGCACATGCCGAGCGTTTGCTCGGTTGCTGCTCCCGTGGGATGCTCTGACCTCCCAGGGTCTCTCGTCATCCCCGTGTTCGGAGCAGGGGTTAATCTCAGCCTGTCCTTACCCTGGGGGGTTGTTCCTCGCCTGTTTTTAAGTTCTCCGGCTGCATCCTTGGGTAGGACCAAGGCGCAGCTCATCACAGGACAGCTCTGAAGCCATCTCCTGCGCCAGCCCGGCAGCCGGGTCCGGCTGCTTCTGGGTGGGGTTTGCGGCATCCAGCCCAGAGGTTCTGAGAGCCAGTGGTGTCCCAGGGGCAGAGGGGATGGGGGGTTGGCACTTTGGGGTGCTGCAGCGCCCAGACACCTGAAATCCCGCAGACCCCATGAGGACCATGTGTCCAGAGCGGGTCTGTGTCCCTGCCGGTCTTTGCGATCGGGTTGAGCTGTGGGTGAGCTGAACCTCAGGCGGGCAACACACCGGGTCACCCTTCGAGGTTCCTTCCACGCCTGTTTTTTCAGCGATTGCAAATCAACAGCTCCGTTCGGGCCACTGCACGGGCCAAGGCACCCAGGGTCCCTGCTGCTGTTTGAAAATCCGGGTGGCAGTGAGTTTGTGCATCACCGGACGGGGTCCGTGCAGCAGAGGAGGCGGCGGCAGGGCTGCGCTGACCGGCTCAAAAAAATGCAGTTTTTTTCTCCTTCCTGTGGTTTGTAGCCTTCTGCTTCTTAGCAAACCAGTGGCAGCGGACGACGATGAGCCAAGGGTTTTCGCAAGGAGCAGACGCCGCCCGGGCAGCCATCACCTTCTCCTTCTTCTCCGTCATCGTCTGGGTGAGTCCAGCTTCGGCGCTAAGGTGGGGAAAGGAGAAACGAAACCTGCCCTGGGCTCGGC